TAGTTTGATCTTGTTAGAATACCTTTTTCCTAACTTTCAGACGAATAAATTGGAAAACGAACGAGCAAAATAGGGAATTTCACACAAATATTTCACACTTTATATGATTAGACCACGGCAAGCTCCACTCCTCGCTCGAAGTTTTTTCTCAAAAAAGAAAATTTAATTACTATTTCTACACAAACAAATTAAAAATATTTTACTCTAGAGTTTTGAAGGATTTTTTTATTGTAAAAAATGTACTGTCAGGTGCATTTTAAGTCGTTTTAAACGATGTTTTAGTGCATATTTTTACCCAGTTGTGAAAATTTAAAAAACCCGCGTTTTTCCGTTACGTGAAAAGACTGGGCATGACAACAGTGGGCATGCCTGGGCATGGCTTCACATTTGCGGTTGGAGGTATCGTTCCAGTTATTTTTAGTTCAATGGGATGGCCTGATCCAAACACGCGGGAATGTTGCGAGACTTAAGAAAAGCGCGAGTGATTTTGCGCGTTTTTCCGGCTTAACTCGAGCAACATTCCCAAGTAGATAGTATAAAGGACCTACTTTATCAATATCTATTATATTTATTTCTTAGCACAGAAATATATCACATACGGTGAATATATTTAACATTATTTACTCCTACCTAAAATCTGCTGCGTGGTCATGCTTAGTAAAATCCATGCACCTACATTTACCCATGCTTTGTGTATATTAAGCAAAATATTTAGTTTATAAATAAACAAAAATTTACCTTCGCTTAACGCGTGCAGCTTTTCGAAGAGATTCGTTCCTGCAGATGGCACGGAGTGTTGGCAAGTAATCCATGACGACACCACTCCTATTGAGGTAGTTCAACTCCGGCAAGTGTGATAAAACAGTTGTGTAGTTTTGCTCGCGTTTTCTTGCTTTGCTGAAAGAGAAGTCGCATGTAAATTCACAACTTTGTATAAATTAGCTCTACTTATCCTGAATAATTAACTAAACTGTTGCTGTTGGCCATGCAGCATTGGGTCACACTTAAGATTAAACTATAGACTTGGCCACCGTAGGCAAGCAAACTTTTCAGCTTGCCCAGTGTGGATGCACACTCAGAGTAACATCACAAACATCATATTCACCTGAGTACACATAACACCAACAACACAAAAAATATATATATACTCTGTTCTCAACCAAACAAAATTTAGTAATTTTGACTTGTGTAATCATTAATAATCCATGACGAAAACACAAAAGAAATCATGCTGATGTACATAAATTTTAAGTTAAATTTTCTCACCAAATATCATTAATTTATTAAAGACCATGTAAAGTCCGCTCTGCACAGGCTTACATTCCAATGGTCGGGACCCGACCGTTGGAATGTTATTAATATTTCGTATCTTTTGAACTTTCTTGAATTGAATCTCTAGTCTGTATTCATTTACAAGCATAGCGAACCACAAGTGTTAAAAATTCAGTATAATATATATCTAATCACATTTTACAACTGTAGCACTGAGTTCAAAATGTAAACAAAGCGTTTGTTTACATTACGGACTTTCCATGGTCTTTAAATTGTTGAAAACGTCATCAAGACTTTCACAAGCCGTTTATAATATTCGCGTCTGTGTTGTATCGGATATACACGGCAGCTCACGTAAATAGTATACAGTCATACAAATACAAACGTAATACCTAGCGGAATTTTCGGTGCATGTTGTTTGTAAACAAGTTTTAGCATCCAGTGTGCTCAGAAGAATCTTCGTATCTGTCAATTCATCAGCAATGTCAGTGACTTGCATATCATCGGTGGCAACACCTTGATTTAAATATGATAATGGGTAACACTCAGATAATAAATTTCTACCATATTTCAGGAATTGTTCACCACAATGGCTACAAAGGTCATGAAAGCGTTTATGCGCATGTTCTAGACTGGCAACTTCTAAGGCCCCTCGTAGTTCATTTTGAGCATTCCTCGTTTTCCACGTTATATGACAAGGTGAGTGCTTGTCCACAGAGTCCTTGAGACCAGGTGATATTTTGGCAGACCATGATTCAAATCTTTCCTCGGGAGTTCCAGAGTCACCACAGCAAAGTTCAGATTCCATGAACGACATATCTTCATAAAAGCTCTCCAAACATTTAAGTGACATCCCAACAAGTTTCTTGGAAATGAGATCTAAACAAATTAATGGGTAATTCGTACTTAGTGGCACCAGGGTGGCACTAATCTGTATAATACTCTTCGCTCATAGGTACCAAGTAACATAGTAACATGACTGTAAAATTGTCGAGCAAGACCACAGACTAGTGCCTCCCTCTATTCTCGAGTTTCATATGACATCACGTGGGGGTCAAGGGTAAAGGACGACATTTATATTGTTTTATATTGGCTTTTATAATAGTAGGAGAACTCCATTTACATAAGCGTTGACATCCACTTTCTTTCTTTGTTGACCTCAGTTCAATGATTGACCCCCCACTTGAGTGAAATTATGCTAAAATATCACGTGATTGAAACTCGTACGTGCTTGATCAAGAGTCGCATCCTTAACCATGCATGAGCACCAGATCAGGCTGGGTTCATAAAAATTCTACTCTATGTGTTCTTATTATGTCCATGTTGAAAAATCAAAATTAGTTTTCCTACGGCAACATATCCGGCAACGTTTACATCGAAAAAGTGGAATAACCCAAACAACGCCCCACATACTTCACTAACTGAAAATCATATTTGGGGTAAGTGGTACATAAACAATGTTCAAACCACAGTTAATATAAATATACCTTTATCCTGAATTTTCGCCTCATCAATAGTTTTGCTGTCATTCTTTACGCAGGATTCCTCTTCCATGTCACCATCATTTTGGCACTCAGAAGCTTTGGCCTCACAAGTATCACTCTTATCTCCCTTGTCTGATGCCGGGTGATCGCTGTGTTTTGAAAGGCGTGTCTTCACAGGATTGTCGTCAATCATGTTGACGGAAGAAAACACACAGGGGAATAATGTTTCCAGGTTACAATACACTATATCCAAGTTTAGACCCTGACAGTGGGAAGTCACCAAACATTTTTGCTGGAAGGAATTCTAAACAATAGAAAAATAATGTCTCAAATGAAATATTGAAACTACATCGCATGTAGAACTCGCAACTCTCGACAATTTGCACGCATATGAGTTTAAAAAGTATAAAATAAAACAAATATAATATTATTCTATTATTAATTTCGCCAAAGAGTACGAATGTTCCTATTACAAGCCAATGCTTGCGTAATACGCTGTTTAAAGAATGTCTTGAAAATTCGACGACAATTCCTAGTTTTAAAAAAATCAGACAAAGAAAATATGAATTTCTTAAATACTGTTATTATTCAGTAACAGGTACATACCTTAGATTTTAATGTCTCCAAAACATCTGCAGCATCGTTGTTTATATTTCGAAGACCTAACAGACTTTCCAAGCAAAGGTTATGCATCTCTATCTTTGTTTTCTCTGATGGAACTATCAAGGGTTCACTGCTTGGCTTGCTATTACAATCTTGCTTATCTACCCCACTGCTAACATCACATAGTTTTGTAGAATCAACTTTATTTTCACCCAACGATTGCGCTTGGCTACATTTTTCTGAGACCAATATTTCATCGCCTGGCTTTTGGTTGGAATCTTGATTAACTAAACGACTGCTAACTTCACATGGTTTTGTAGTTTTGTTTTCTTCTAATGATAAGGCGTTGCCATATTGTGATTGGTTGGTTAGCTCGGGGTTCGTTAATTCACTAGCACTAGTACAACGACTCGTTGCATTTTCAAACTCTCTTTGGTTTTCTGTGCTACTGAGTTGTTGAATATCTGTAGTGGTTGTGTTGACCGCTTCATTTTTACTGGATGTATTGGGTACACTACCAGAATCTGCCACACCTGCAGAATATATTTTGACATCACATTTATCTTGGGTGTTTGTTGATGTGTTGTTTGTCTTTATCGGACTAGAATTCTTTACTAATTTATCTTTACTTTGTTCTACCAAAGTATTATCTTCGTTGCCATGAAGTCGATTGTCGTCAGTTGCAACAGATACCGTTTCATTGTTGAACAAAATACTAGCATTAGTCCCAAGGTCATTTCTAACTGTCACTCCACGTTTATAGCAAGTACCAGCATTAGAATCAACCCAGAACTGCAAACTCAGCAACAAACGGCGGATGTCCGAGTAATGTAGCCAGGAAAGCGCATGTATGTCGGATGGGTTGACAAATACATTCTTGGTCAAGCAAACAGTTTGGAGATATGCAGCATAAAGCTTAAGTGAAGGTGACTTTAGTATTACATGTTCAAATTCTCCATCAACTTCTATTGCACTTGGGTCTAAAAGAGAGAATACAACATGGAGATTACAATTAACGGAGAATACAAATAATGCTCACAGGACGTCGGGGGTGCAATCGTCAGAGCGAGCGACCTCGTTGGTTTGATTCTCGCTGCGGACATACGACACTTGTGTCAAAAGAATCAGTCAACGCTCTACCGAAACAGGCTAAGTTGGTATTAGCGCCAAACTGACTCTTCACCGTAACTGCGCTCCGTGATCAGACACGAGTCGTAATGTCCATGCTTTTAGAATACTTTCGATTCGATCTGTTCGAGCCGAGTCCTTTAACTTCGCTTTCAACTTCAAGAAAGGATGATCAGTACATTTCCACTTACCCGAAGATGACGGCATCAATCAGTGCCCCTTTTGTATTGTGTGCACAGTTTGCAATTAAACAATGGGGATAAGATTTTAGGGAACAGTCAGGCTTGGGAAAAACTAATTTCGTTCTGAGACCACTGTGACAGAAAAAAGCTTTCTGTTAATGCTCTAGCATGTGGCTAACAAGGCAACAATGGGGAACAAAGCGCATGGATGCATGATCGAGCATTGAGTCAGTCGATATCACTACTCATTCATGAGAAAAACAGAAGAGAAATTACCAGCGTAATTTGACACCAAGGTAACAATTGTTCATTAATTAAATAATTAGTGTCAGCTTGTGTCAGACTGTTGTTATATCAAGACGTAACAAATAAAAATACAATAGCTTTGCAGCTGTAAAGGAGTTGGAAAGTATTTGACGGATTGAAAACGAACTACTCTTACTACTATAGTCGGTCCGTAAGTGGCCGCCATGCCATAGTTCGTTTTCAATCCGTCAAATATCTTTCCAATCTATAAGGGATATGTATTAGCTTAACTCGTTTACAGTAGAAATACACCAAACAAAGTTTTTTATTGTTATTTTCTACTTCTTGGCCACTTCCACAAAACAAAAAGAATGATCGACGTAGTTGGAAACGATCCTTGTTTGGAAAAATTTTAGAAGAAGGAAGAATATAATATATAAAAAAACTTACCTGATGCAGTCATGACAATTGGCCGCTTTGAATTCAGTCGAAGAGTGTTTACTGAAACCCAAAATCCTTTGTCTTCTTCAAACAACACATCAACCTGAAGTTGAATATAAAAAGATGAAAACACCAGATTTCATAATTGATTTAAAACACTCATTAATAATTCTTGCTTTTTGGCAAGTCATGTGAACCATATGTGACATGAAGTAGCTTTATGCCAGATAAAACTCATCTTCAGTATTCTTTATATAAAATCCATCCTAACTAGTATTCTTTATATAAAGAATATTGTAAAAGTCTTAACTTTTAAGTCATTTAAAGCACTTGTAGTCGTGTTTTATCATATCTAAAATCTCGTGCTGCGCACTCGCATTCTAAAAATGATAAAACACTCCTATACGTGCTTTAAAGGGGCACTGTCATCAAAATTTTTATTTTCTTAAACGAAAATGCATTTTCTTAAACGAAAATGCTCTTAAAACTGTATAATAACTTGTTTTGAAGATTTTTGTTCCCATGCTTAGTTCTTGAGATTTTTCATTTTGTTTGTAACCATGTGACGTCATTTACTCAATTACACATATAATGAGATATCAGTAATTGTTGTGTATCTTTGCTGTTTTTTATCAAAATCTTTCGAAAGATGCGGCGCGTTTGTTAATTTAACCTTCATCATTAAGCATACTGTTTTTTTTAAAAAATCCATAAAAAATAGCAAAGATACACAACAATTACTGATATCTCATTATATATGTAATTGAGTAAATGACGTCACAAACAAAATGAAATATCTCAAGAACTAAGCATGGGAACAAAAATCTTCAAAACAGGTTATTATACAGTTTTAAGAGCATTTTCGTTTAAGAAAATAAAAATTTTGATGACAGTGTTCCTTTAAATAGTATATAGAGAATACAATCGAATTATGATTTCCTCTGTTTGACAAAAAGCATGAGAATTTGAATAAATGAATATCTAACAGTTTCCTAAATAAAATTATGATAAAAGACAGTTACTATCCAGAAATGTCTGACCAAAACGTTGCTTGGTCTGATATATTGTTAGACCAAGTCCACAGGATTATATTGAACTCTGAGAAATTACAAACTATAGTCTCTGAAGAAAACATTTACACATTTTCGTGCAATATTAAATCTTCTTACATGCAATTACAGAGAATACAGGTATTTGCCACTCAATTACAGCTTTGTTTGCTATCAACAGGTGAGATTGAGAAATTAAGAAAATTCAGTGTGACTTCTTACTTCATCAAGTAGTATAAGAGACATCGGTCCTTGAGTCTCTTCAGAAAGCTGTTCCTTCTTTTTCGGTCGCCCCTTCTTAGACAACTTCTTGTCCTTCTTAATTTCTTCTTTTCCATGTTTCTTTTCGCCGGGACCGTTCGTGCTGCTGTTAGCATGAGGAAGCAGTGAAGACTGTCCTTGCAAGTTACGTTTCGTAGAAACCTGGTGTGATTGCGTGGCTTCCTGTAATTCTGATAAGATGTATTTACCACCTCGCTTGGTTGATGAATTCACTTCAATAACCTGCCAAAAAAACCCACAAATGGAACAAAATTAGAATTAACGTTTAAAATACAAGATCTGCTCACCAAATTTAAAAAAAGTCGCCCTATGTCAATGTCTTATGAAGTATTATGTTCAGTTGTGTGTATATATAACATAAAAAACAGTTGTTTAATATGTTGCATCAGAATGAAATATTTGAGAGACTGAAATATTTTAAGGCTTTAGAATTACGTTATCATTGTCATTTGGCGACCAGCCCGGTCATTTCAACCCCTGAACTCCCCCCTTGCACTCCCCTGTTTAGAAACACTCCCTAAATCGTAAATCCTAGCTAAAATCGTAGCTGGTTGCCAGGCGAAATTGCCTTATGTACCACAGCCTTTAGTTTGCTCTAAAAAGATCAATTACGTAATCATCAAGTGTTCAGTTGGGCAGTTGTTGGATCAATTGAAGTATACGACCCCCATTAACTAGTTCTCTAAAGAACTGCCTCGTTCTTTGATAAACCCTACTTTATTAAACCCTAATGTATTGTTGTTGTTGTTGTTGTTGTTGTTGTTGTTGTTGTTGTTGTTGTTGTTGTTGTTGTTGTTGTTGTTGTTGTTGTTGTTGTTGTTGTTATTGTTGTTATTTACTAAAGACACTTTTAATTCATGAACTAGATCATTCATGAGCAAAACAGTTATTTGGAGAAGTAACTTATGGGGGTCGCATACTTCAATTGATCCCAGTTGTTGGCAACACGTCTGCTAATCACAGTGAAAGCGAGAACATGCATATTGTACTGTACCTATATTTCAGTTTTGTGTGACTGAGAAGTGTTACCTTAAATCCAAGTTCTTCAGCACAAGCATAAACGGCTGATGTTTTCCCACAGCCAACTGGACCAGACAGCAACATTGTATTACAAACATTTTCCTCATCACAAAAATTCTCATCACTGCTGTCATCACTTGAAGAAAAATCTGAATCATCGTCATCATACCACCGATTAGACGACGTTTCCATGTCGCCCTTCTCTGCAGCCAACCTGGTAAACAGAATGAAAACCGAAATAACAATTTGATTTGCTTAACCGGTAATTTTAGTACAAGTGTGAGTAAACTTTCAAGGACCAGTTTACAAATAGTAGTCAACGAGAGATTAATTAACCTTTCTCATGAAGGCCAAAATCTGCCATCTTTGGGGTACTGTCTCTGCCCTCGTGAAAGATTCTAAACAATTCAAACAACGTGAAAAGCGACTTTTAAAAGTTGTAACTGTAAAATTACCATTGTACAAACAACTATAATACTAAAAAGTCGCATTTCGTGGTGCGGAGAGTCTCAAACGTGGGAGAGGCAGTACCCCCAGAATGGCGGAACAAATGGCCGTGAGAAAGGCTAATTGAATTTGATGTATTAATGAAACAAATCACGGTTCATGATTCTGCAAATTGCATTCATTTTTGTTTATGTAATCCTGCCTTTTCATAAAGGTTCATAAATGTTTATGAACGTATACCTTAACGTCTACCATAATCACTTAAACTATTAACTCAGCGGACAGTCCGAAATTTGATCGTTGTTTAATATACACTGAGTGAGCAATGCGTTTGCAGTGAGGCGAATATTCGTGGGGTCTCATGAAAGTTGACCGGTCACAATTGGAATTGGTCAGCCACCAAATGAACAAAATGATCGGTATTTAATTTAAATTGTAAATAGTCCGTAGTAATCTTACACGTAATTCAGCTGTTTGGCTGCGATGTGTATATTTAATGATCTATCTACTATATGTAGTACTAAACATGTATATAGCTATGTAAAATCTTTCTTTCCGCGGAAATTGAAAAAATTTGGATCATTTTGAAACCTTACCTTTGCCGTTTCTTTTCCTCGTGCCTCTTTAAAGCTTCTAACTTTCTCTCCCTCAAAGTTTTCCATTCAGAAAGCCAGTTCTTCAATCTAGACCCGGAGTTGGTATTTCCTAAAATTTCCGATGAATTCCTTGGTTTAAAACAATCACTCCATAACACCGAAGTAAGAGAACTACCAGTTTCCACGTCTGCATCTTTTTCATTACACGAACTTTGCTCTGTAACTTTTTTATCCGAAGTTTGCTCTTTATCAATCTCAAATACAGGTGTCATAGCTTCAACAACTGGAAAAAGAAAATATCAGCAAACTTTAATGCTATATAGATGTAAAATTAGACAACTATTCTAACCCAACATGCAGTAAATCTCAAAATACAGCATCAAGTACATAATCCCCGAGTCAACTGCGCGGAGCGCCGTTCCGGGCGCAAGCCCGGGGCGAGGGTACTAATTCCGTTCGGCTATTTACAGCCGGGGAAAGGAAAGCATTAGCGAAGTCTAAAGTTGATCAATGATCGCGGGCGTGGGTCACTGTGCGTGGGTGGTCATCTCACTGATCTCAAAATATGGCTGTTTGCCAGGAGTGAAGGCAAAAGTATAAAATATACTACATGTAAGAAAGCCTGGAAAATCGTTTCACATAACAAATTTTAAAACTTTTTCATTTTTTAAACGTAAACATTTATAAGAATTAAATTAGTGAGAAATCCTAAAGTATAGGGCAAGTTTGTTTCAATTGTTTATGTGTGACTTTGTATTATTAAGTCTATTATATTATAAATATTTAAAAAATCATTAATAATTCAGGAGCAAAACACAAAGAAAAATCATAAGCGTGTCGTATCTTTATATGTAATAAAAAAATCATGTTAATTTACATAAACTTTAGCTTTGATTTTCTCGGTTTAGACAAAGTTTATTTTAAAAATTACTTCGCTAATTTACTCATCAGAAGATGGGTCGTTTTTTAAGCCATTTAAAGCACTTGTAGTCGTGTTTTATCAGATATAAAACGCTCGGCTGCGCCTCGCGTTTTATATCTGATAAAACACTCCTACGCATGCTTTAAATAGTACATAGACTTTGTTCTTGTTGTTGAAGTCTTTCCTATGCATTGTATGCGAAAGTTTCTTAGTTAAATTAACTTTTGTAGAAGTTCATGATAAAAAGGAAAGCAAATTATGTTCATAAGCTTATATAATGCGGCTGAAATGTTACAATGCGGCTAATAGATACGGCTCCGTAATACAAGACTTGAAGAGACTATGTTCAGTTTATCCCAACTATTTCTCGACAGTCCCCATCTGCACACATGAAAGTCTCTTTTTATTTATAAGCGAAATAGCAAATGCCTAAATCTCCAATATACTGTACCTTTTATGTCCCCTTCGTTGCTCTGACTTTGGTCATCTTGTTTAATACAATACTTTTCTACAACATCTAATTCCACAATATCGCTGCCTTTATTTCCATCACACGTTTCCACAGAAGTCATGTTAGGTTCCATCTAAAACACGCATGACATTGTTTTAATACATTCTTGCGATAATCACGTCACACACACTTTTTGGTCTTGGAGCCTCGCTCTCATTAGTAAATTACGCAAGGTGACTGGCTCACAATTCATGAGAGCGAGGCTCCCAGGTCAAATGACGTAATTATCGAAAGGGTGTATTAGTTGCATTCGTGCTACTACGGGCATGTATAACTATATTCATTTGATTCATTGCGCTAAGCCCTGGTTGGAGTATTGAAATCAGTGGCGCACAGAATCTCCTAGCCAGAATATGCCCGTTCGCAGGTTAGGTGCAGGGCGTGACTATGGGAAAACGGAATACTGGACGTCGAATTTTAGACATCCGGTTAGTTGTGCGCATGCTCTTGCTCAATCCGCAACACTGAATTCGTGCGGGCGATATACAGTAAACTAAGCATTTTTATGGATTTTATACGGTAAAGAAATGGTGTCTACATTTTGCAAGAAGGATAATGATTTTTTTGCAAGAAGGATATTGACTGACTGACAGACATTTAGAAGATGACTGTTGTATTTTTACTATTTTACCATTTAACATGCTAATAGAAGTTTTTATATTAAAATATCTAGCATGTTTGATGTGCCACTGTGGATCTGTCGCTAGTTAACCTATTTACTTTGGTGAATTGATGTATTGATATTTAGAAGGAATACGAAAGTGCTTCCCTCTGTATCATTACTTTGATTTAGCATTGTACATTGTTAATTTCATTTGATTATATGCATTTAATTTAACTCAGGGTGTCCACCCTTTGGTGAAGGTGAAAATTCACCCGGTCCAGGACTTTCAAAGCCCTTTTTCAGTAAATTCAAGGATCTAGAACTGGGAAAAATCTTTGAAAATGGCACGGATTTGCCCAGCAAATTTATTTCACTTTATTTAGTAATTTTAATCAAAATCACTAATGTTGGCACAGCTGGAGGTTAAGGAAATTAATTCCAGGAATTTCAAGGACTTCTACTGAATTTCAAGGACTTTCCAGTCCTGGAATTTGTTTTCCAATTCAAGGAGTTTCCAGGATTTTCAAGACCCGTGAACACCTTTTAACTGTAATTCAGTCATAAAAAATTAGGACGCTTAAAAATCACTTCAAATACTGGCGCTCACTGAGTGGGAAATCTGCCATTACTGAGGTAAGCTACATTACCACGACCTTCTATCTCTGGGAGATAAATAATAATTTACATGTGCTGTTGTGTCAAGGTACTACTTTTGGCATCGAATATGTACTGTACGCTAAATACTGTAAGCTATAATTAGCTAATGTTGCAGAACAATTTGGGTTGTCATCCATATTGCCATCCTTTTGTGGCTGGAATTTGCATTGCCTTAAAAATTTTTTGACTAAATTTCATTCGAATTTGCTAAATTTATAGCTTGATGGTTGTAAAATCATCTTATATAATACCTCTGTTACAACTTACACAGTTATTCAGCCACCAGACAAAGATTATTAGGGGGAGCTTTACTTTCATTACCTTACTTTATCCAGAGTAGGGAACCTCAATCTTACCAGCGACAATTCTGACCAGAAACAAAACATACCTGTTTATCTGCTTCTTCAACAGTGGATTTCTCCTGTAATCTCCGCGACTTGCGCAAACATGTCGTCTCAGTTCCACTGTCCTTTGCAGCATCGCTGTTCACTGTGTTCACTTTGGATTTGCTCTGACAGCGAGGTGATGGTCGTTTTATAAAGTCGTCATCACTTGATAACTTCCGACATTTTGCAGATTTTTCCAAAGGTTCAGTTTTACCATCTTTTTTCTCCACGACATCGGTATTTTCCTTACTTTCAACACTTCGAACTTTACGTTTTTGACCTTGAAAAGAAAACATGGTTTTTAAACAAGAGTTTACAGTCGAGCATTACTAATACAGGCACCTCTCTAATACGAACACTTCTCTAATACGGACATTTCTCTAATACAGACACTTCTCTAATACGGACATATCTAGCTCTGAAATGCGGACATATCTCAAATATGGACACCCCATGTCTAATACCGGCACCTCCCTAATACGGTGGCCGGACATTTTGCCGAAAGACATTTTGCCGAACGATCATTTTGCCGAACGATCATTTTGCCGAACGAACATTTCGCCAAACGGACATTTTGACGAACGGACTTTTCGCCAAACGGACATTTTGACGAACGATCATTTCGCCAAACGGACATTTTGACGAACGGACTTTTCGCCAAACGGACATTTTGCCGAACGATCATTTCGCCAAACGGACATTTTGACGAACGGACTTTTCGCCGAAAAGACTTATTGCCGAACGGACAATTTGCCGAAAATAGAGATATTATTAGAAATTTAAAGACTCGTTTAGACTATCAAAGTTTCTGTGATTAAAGTCTTTGATAAAAGTCATTGTTGACTTTGATGACAGAAACTTTGATAGTGAATATGTTTCGTTTCATATTGACAGCTGCATGAGAATAACATGATTCCTGAATGTTAAGGTAAAAGTTTATTGTGTATATATTTCATAAAAAGCATATATATTATCGTACATATTTTATAATGGTTATATTTAACCGGCACGATGTTGATGCTGACACTGCTCTTTGGGCAGTCACGTGAGATGGATCAGGTGGATGAGAATGCTCTGATGGCTGCTGCCATAAGCTTTCCACTAGAGTTGAGAGTCTGCCAGAGCATTCTGCAATTTGCGAATGTGTTCCATGATTCTCGAAATGAAATTTGCTTACGCCGCTGCCTTTTTATACGCTTGTTTGTTTATGACCTGACGTCAAAACACGTTCCTAACAGATGAGTCATCCGCTGCACAAACAAACTATCGATATGGTTATGCACTGCTAATGACTCACATGACAATTGAGTCACCGTCCCAAACAATTTGATTAACAATGTGGGCGAACGTGGGTGTTTAATATTTGATGAAATAACATCTCTATTTTCGGCAAATTGTCCGTTCGGCAAAATCTCTTTTCGGCGAACGAACCAACCTTGGACTAACCTTTTCTTGGTTTTCTAAACTCCTGACTGTAGTTCAGAAGCTTCGCTTTCTTTACTGTGGGTCTTGTAATCTCTTCAACAGGGCAATCTCTACCACCATCAACTTCGTTCTCTCGAGCTCGTTTCTTGCATTCTTTCACCTTTTCATCAGCACCGGCAATCTTGTTAGCGCTTTTATTCTTCTTGCCTTTCTTGGATATTGCACTACATAGACGAAAACAAAACAAGAACATTGTAAAAAAAGACTGTAGCGAAGTTATAGTGCAATTTCTTGACACGGAATAGTTGCATGCATTTCCTCCAAGCTTTTCTCCCTACAGATGAATGCATCGATACAACAACCACAGTTATTTTAATAGATGGTTTGGAGACTCGATGAAAGTACAATATAACTCATTATTATACATTTAATATGTATTCTCGTTTCTAATTGGTCAGAAAGCACCGGCTAATTTTCAGTATTCGGCATTTATTACGTATTTTCCGCCGACGACGTCATCAGCGTCCAATAATTGTTTTTTTGGATCGAACTTGCATCCAAAAAAACAATTATTGGACTCTCTCGTGCCCAAACCCTTGCGCGGCCAAAAGCTTGAACCTATAAGCGCGCGAAAAAAACAAACAAACAATGGCCTACAGCAGATTTGCTTCGCTGAATGAAAGTGAACTCTCCAAATTATTGGCAGATAAGGATAGTGTATGCACGAAAAAAGCCACAAAGGGGTAAATAGAAGTAGAATATTTAGCTGACCTTTGTGCAAGGTGTTTGATATTCAAATTGTACTTTTCCTACCTCATGAACAGGAATCGTTTTATATGTTTCTCATGTCTTTAAATGTATAATAAAACAATTATTGGATTCGGTTCTCGCATGATATCAAGAATTATTCAGACCTCGGTCTATGCTATCCGCCTCAGCTTCGCTTCGGCAGATAACATTGACCTCGGTCTGAATAATTCTTGATATCATGCTCAGCCTCATCCAATAATTGCTTATTAACCATGTTATTGTCCAGCTTTATGCAAGAATTTGGTCCTATCTCGTCACGTGTGTATTGTATTTTCGCTCAATAACAAGTTTGTGGTTGAGTTATCCATCCGTAACTTGAACAAATGCTCAATTTAAACATTGCTATTGGTTGTGCGGGAAAAAATACAATACACACGTGACGAGATAGGCCCAAATTCTTGCATAAACCGAAACCAACATAGTTAATGAGTTATATTGTACTTTCATCGAGTCTCCAAACCATGTATTCTATTAACTGTGATCCAACTGATTATTGAAGGGATTTGTGGATGGAAATTCCGGGTGTGATTTAGGTCGCAGGTTCGATTCCTGACAGAGAGCCAATAGTTGCATTTTTGAAACAGCAATGGACCATTTGCATTATAGACTAAATTTTGATCCAGACAAAAATTTCATCACAGCTTGAAAGAGCATCACAAAATTAGCAATATTCCAAAGTTTCGTTGCAAAATGTTGTAAAATACGGATAATATAGCCTTGCGAAGTTTGCCGTTTTTCAGTCATTTTGTATTACGCACGGGAAATTGACAGCCCAATCGGGTGTTGGGGCATCAATTTCCCGTTTGTAATACAAACTGACTGAAAATTGCAAACTTCGCTAGGCTATATTATCCGCATTTTACAACATTTCGCAACGAAACTTTGGAATATTACTAATTTTGTGATGCTCTTGCAAGCTG